GGCGGCAAGCATGATGTCTTTCTTTTCCACCTTCCACCTCCCCTTATAATCGACAATGCCGTATTCTTTATTCTCTTCAGTGCTCCCGGTAATCATTTCAAGATACTCCTTTTCTTCTACAGTAAGCCGTATTATTGCTAAAGGAATCTGGAACGAAGGGTTATGCACTGCATACAAATATACATATAAAAAACAATAGAGCGACTAAGACTTCACACAAAAACAAGTGATAGACTACATAGATATGAGCTCATGTTGTTGGTTGTCTATCTATTTCGTCATAAGTGTTGCTATCCATAACAGATAAACTGCAACCTGCGCGATGCAATTTCTTCCCTTCTGTGAGGCTTATTCCAACAGCTTTAAACATCCTCAAGGCAGCTGGCTTCACAGATGGAAATGTCATGGGTGTACGACTTCTTCTCTTATTTTTTGGCAATAACGGTAAAGTTGACAAAGCTTGCAAGCCACGACGAATGATATTCTTCTCTCTCTTCCTTTGCGAGTGTACATGTGTCGTTTTCCACAGTTCTTTTCGACGCGCTGCATGATTGACAAAATAAAACATATTGAGTTACAAGTCCGACTTTCCGTTGTTGAAACTGACTCATGAATACTAATACGAAATATATGACAATTGCACTAAGTCTTCATACAAAACAATTGCAGAATTTATCTTCAGAAAACGCACAGTTCCAAAGCTAGGTAAATAAACAATACATCTGAGGGATCGACACAATGGGAGATGAGTGCATGTGATGTACCCACTAATCCGCATATAGTATTAGATATTGCTCTTATGATAAGAAAGTGTTCACCTCGATGACTAACTCTCAGTTTTTCTTCAACACGACTTTCTGTCACACCTTCCATATGCAATGGCGCAATAGGAGATTCCTCGATAGCTATCATGAGGCTACCAGACTGTGGTATTTGAGGTTGTTCAAGCGTTTGTTGAGGTTGTACAAGTACAGCTTGCTCCGGTGTACTTAGTACTATATATCCTTCATCCTCTTCGATGCCCTGTACATGGAGAGTTTCTTCCTCCTTTACGCCCTTAAAAGTGTCATAGAAAGTGCCGCTTACTTTGGCTGGCATCGTTGACGACGGCATCTGCAATTCCGTGAGTGTACCAGTAATATCCACTTCCATCGCGACACTCTCGCCCACTAGTATCGTAGTAGCCCAAACTTGGTCAACTGTACTCACGCCCTCGCAACTCACACCGCCTTTTCGTCCCGAAGTTTTGGCACTCGCACCGACAATCGATCCCCGTTGTTGTGTCGAGTTGGACATAACCACGAGTTTCTCCACTCGGTCAAGCTGGGAGCGCTCCAATAGTGGACCCCTGTCGTGTTCGACTCGACCGTGTGACCCTTCGACAGGTGAAACAACGTCGATTGGTCTCGAAGCCTTGCCACTTGCACCGGTGATTGATCCCTTTCTCACTGTCGGGTTCGACTCGACAGTGACTTTCTTTGCTTGGTCAAGCCTCGAGCGCTCGAATGTTGGACGAGTGTCGTGTTCGACACGACTGTGTGACTCTTTAACAGGTGAAGCACCGCCGATACTTGTACTGCCCTCCCGTGGTCCCGAAGCCTTGCCAGTCGCACCGACGATCATTTCCGATCCCACTGTCGGGTTCGACTCGACCGTGTGACTCTTCGCTTGGTCAAGCCGGGAACGCTCCAATGCGAGGCCACTGTCGTGTTCGACTCGACCGTGGGATACTTCGACAGTTGAACCACCACTCGATCCTGATCCCTTGCTCTCTGTTTCTTGAGGCCCCTGAGACCCTTCGACAGTTGAACCACCGCCGCTTGGTCCTGTAGGTTTGCCATGCCCACCTTCGCTTTGTGCTGATCCCTTGCCTTCTGTTGCTTGACGCCCCTTAGACTTTTCGTTTTGTTGTCGTTCCCCACGACTTGCGTCCTTGCCGCTTACACCGTCATTCGGTTCCGTACCCTTGTCACTTGCACCGCTCCCCGATCACAATCCTTTGCCATGCGCACCTCCGCTCGATCCTGATCCCTTGTCATGGTCACCACCGCCGCTTGATTTTTTCCTCTTCCCAAGATCTTCTCTGACATGCCAATAATATCCATAAGTCGGGCTGGTTTGTCTATCGTAGAACTCTTCCAGATACTCAAGCACTGCGATGTTTTGAACTCTTGGAAAATTTCTTCTGTTCTTATATCTAGTCTTGATTGAGAAACCTCTGGATTAAGTCGCAGGAGTCGCTTGGCAATCTGATTTTTTGCATGTTTCAAAAAGTTCGATGCTGACATACGTCTGTGGAGACAAAACTGCCACTCCCCTTCTTCTTTTATAGCCATAACCCACCTCCCTCTCGCCAATGCAGGTTGGAAGTGTTGGGGGTGCCGTATAATGTGATGACCCCATGTGGCATCATCCGTCACCGTATAATCGTCTCGACACACTATAGGCCCCGGAAGCAGTCGAATGTCTGCAGGGATTGTGTCTCCAATCTCGTACTCCAAAGGCTCATCTGGTGGAGGTTGTTGTGGAGTTCAAGAGCGTAGCAATTCCATAATAGTACTTGGGCTGTGTGCAAATGGTGCCAGAGTTGCCACCAACTCTGGGGAGAGCATTGCTAGAACACTCGGATCCAGAATGCCTCCGGATGCCACCGTCGTCGTATTGTGCGCCATCTGAGTCGGCGTAACAATAGAAGAAGTCGGCGGCTGAGTCATTAACTGACCCGTTGAGACCGCCATGCTCGAAGCTCCTCCAGAACCGGATGATGTGCCTGGAACACCCATTCTCTGCGAACCCGGCTACAAGCTCTTTGCCTCTCAGCTGCCAAAGCCGCTTGCAAAGTGCCATCAACACTCTCTTCTTCTGAGTCATCGGCATCAAAGTCCTCATCATCCACAAAACAAGTCGTATAACCTGCGATTGTAAACGCCCCGATTTGTTGGTCGAAGTACATTGTCTCCAAGCGGTCGAGAAATGAAACCTCCTTCTCCGATGGTGCTTTATGATAACCCCTCCAGAGCTTCTTCACTTTTCTTCTTCTGAGGACATAAGTATGTTTCCCTCTGTCTTGCGCCTTTGTTTCGAATAGAAACTCCCAAATATTGACCACGTTTTGGCCAACCTTGTAGACGAGATCACACCTTTCATCATGTCGCGGAGGCGGCTTAGTAAAGTTGGCGTAGTAATCTCGAGTTTTGACCATTTTGTCAATGAACTGAATGAGGAATTCGAACTTCATAGTACCCTCCCCTTCCAGCACAATGCAATGATGGTGACTCTTTAACAGCTCCCAAACCAATCCCGCTTGACCTTTCCCGAGGAAAACGACAGCCTCATCAGCAGGAAAAAAATGCTCCAATGTCTCCACCATCGCATTCGGCTCCCTTTCCATACCATCATAGACTTCTTTCTCCGGTGGATCCATACCTGCCATTTTCCACTTCGATGGTAGAAAAATCTTCTCCACGACATCAGTCAACATCTTCGGCTTTCTCTCTCTCCGCACAAGTGCCAATATGTCAGCCACCCCCTCGGCAGATAATGAACCTGCAACTTGAATATCTTCAAACAAGGGAATAGTGTTGCGATGAAAATCCCCGTCGTTGGAGTACATGATGACGACCATTCTGTCTGTGTCCTCCGAAGGCAAGTTTGCAACCTTATATGTCACTTTCCCCTTTGTTTGTTGTAAACGAGTCCATTTGAGAAGATCCAAGTGAATGTCCCACATCGCGACTCGCCTCAAGAATGTGAACTCACAAGGGCGTGGAACGAAGCACAACAATGTCCCTGCCAAGTTTGTCAATGAACTTTTTGAGTCCATCAAACACTTGTTCAGTCCACGCACCCATCTGGGTCGGGCGGCACAAATCCAGGACGGTTGTGTGGCACGTCAAGTGTCTGACGACTCTAAACATCTCCTTGCAATCCATCTCGTCTGAAACATCGCTCGGTTCCCACTGGAACGACACGAATACAGATGTCACGTCCTGTTTCTGAAAATGTACATATCTCGCTTGTCCTTACATACGAATGTTATGCGAACCCCCAGTTTCAGATCAACGCAACAACTTGTTCAAAATTTGAATGAAATCTTCGGGGCATTTATTTGCAAGCGATTTTATTGTCTTGAAGCCCTCCTCTCCTTTCTCATCCTTGCCTCCAAGTGTAGTCGGAAATGACCGCACCCAACTCGTTTCTTTGAAATGCCGTCGCTGGTCGATCCACCTCTCCGATGTCAATCCTTGATCACAATACTTAGCGAACAAATCAGAAAGGTTGTCGAAGAATGGTTCCTTCCACTCTGACGGCTTCTTGTGAGGGTCAGAAATGAGGACGAAGTAGTGAAACATTCTCAACATTGCTCTTTCCTACTTCACCATTTCCACGTATATCTCCATCGAATGTTTCCCGGCAATGTGAGCAGCTTTACTTAGCCTTGGAGCCAGTACGACACTTCCCGCGAGAATGTCTCGCAACAGCTGAAGCCTCTCACACCTCCCCAACGTAGACATGGTCTTCCATGATCTTACATCCGGATCGCGCACAGCCACGAGGTAACCAGGTCCTCTAGTACCCTGAATCCAGTGCACTGGAACCCTGACTCCTTTTTCCAACTCGAATCCGGGGCCAGGTCTCGGGTCTTTCCCCGATTCACATTGTTTGGTGGCAGGCTTCACACCATCTCTCCCCGGCAACTGTCCACTCTCCCAAGCAGAATACACTTGTTGCACCTTGTCGAACGCATCGTCCGTCGCCCTTGCCAATACCATGTAACGCCCGAGGAAGTCGGACCACTCCCTGCTCAAAGGCCGAAGTGAAAGAGTAACCAAATCATCACTTCCAGTCGCGCGTAGAGCCATCACCGCAAACTTTTTGTAATCCTCATTTTTGACGTCTGCAGCAGATCTGCCTATAGCTTCTGGACGACCGGCTGCTTGCCACAACTTTCGTATGTTCTTAATGATAGCAATCTGGTGCGGAGGAGTATTCCATTTGTCCTTCGCATTTTGGAAAGTGCTCAAGGTGCAGTAATTTTTCACGCTCCTATCCAGATAGTAAACAGGCCTTCAAGCCCAGCAATCCAAACGGAGCTCACGGGCGATGTAAGGGCGTTCTTGAGAACATTTCCTCACCGCTGCAACATTGACCACTGAGAGGGTACCAGTAGTACTTGCACACGGATTGGAGATCGAATTCGCGGGGCGTCACTCTTCTCGCCTTCACATTCGTACTGGAAGCATCAGTATGCATTGTATCATGTAGCCCAATCAACAGAAGGACAGGCTTCTCGTACAATGCACATATATTCACCCCGGCTGCCCCGGTCGTTCTCTCTCTGATAGCTGCCTTACCCGACTCAACCATTGTTTTGTAAAGGTCATCAATAAGCTCCTGATCGAGGAAGCGTTGATTATATTTGAATTCCTCATCAGGGATATCCAGAATCCTGTCCAACTTGACAGAAATGAACTGCATTTCCGGCCTCTGGTTACCATTCTCGTCGAACTCAAGGAAGAAGCCTTTGCTCAAATGACCAGAAGAATTCCTACGCGGCAGAATCTGCAAACCGGGCGGTCTGGTGACTGTCTTGTCCACAGCGTCTTCATCCGACTGTGGCTGGTCCAGTGGAAAAACGAAAGTTTTTTCCATCACACCTCCCTTCGCTGCTTTTTTCCTTGGCTGCCGTTTTTTCTTCATGGCCTCCTCAGCCTCCCTCGTACGTTGGACGGCCTCCTCAACTGCTAGCATTTTCAACTTGCGTTTGCCCTCCTCTTGCTTGGCTCCCCCCCCCTGCTTGGTTTTCTTACTGTCCATAGCACTTCTCCTCTCTTGCCTCATCTTACTTTTCTTCTCAGCTAGTCGTACTGCATCGGCATGCGCGGGCTCAACCCCAACTTCGCGGTGCATTTCCCCGCGCCCTGGATCCGCTTCCCAATGCCCATGACCCGACGCGAGCAACTGCGTTCGTTTGGAACCCCGATGCACATCTGCATACTCTCCCTCGCCGGTCGTTTCCTCTTCTTGCCCTTCGTCCTCATACTCAACCCCTAGACGACCCTCCAACTCGCCCGGCCCACCCCTCTCGTTGATTGTTTGTTCACTCTCTACTTCCTCTTCTTCGCCACCCTCCTCATATTCTTCGCGTTTTTCATCACGCTCCCATTCTTCTGCACCGTTCTTCTCGTCGTCATCTCCGAAATATTGTGGCCCAACACGAATGACCAACTCATATCGTGGCGGGCGGACCAAGGAAACGGGTTCCTTGGTTGATGCTGGTCTACGCTTCATAGGGGCTGACGGCATGATCTGGCCGCGACACGGACCTTTCTCCCCGATCTGCCCAGATTTCGGAACTCGTGTTGCAGCAACCATAGTCCGAAGTGATGGCGGAGGGCGGGCACCTATAATGATCGGTTTCGACAACGGAGCCGCCTCCAAAGACGACGAAAGCACGCTTTTTTGTTCAGATATGCGGTCGGAAGCATGCACCACCGGCTCATGCCCTGTGACCACATATCTGTCGAAGAATGCAAAAACCGATCGAAGGTCCGGCAACGTCAATTTCTCCATCCCAGGCGGATTGAAAATGTCATAAAGCCTCTTGCCATACCCAACGTGTTTGACCCAACGAAGAGCAACGCGTTTGACACCCCCCATCCGCTCACCTTTAGCGTTAAGGACCATCGTCAACTCCAACATGGCCGACGGTGATTTTTCTCCACTCCACTTAACCACACCGCCAATCGGAACAATGTTATCTTTTATCACCACATACAAAATCAGCCCACCCCAGCGTTCCCTGATTCCACCCACCCAGTCCAACATCCAGCACTTGTCTTTGTGGTCGACGACAGGCACCTCGTCTCCCACACCTGCAACAGACGTGTCACCAGACCTTTTACGCCTCGGCACAACGTCCATCGCAGATTTCCCTTGCTGACCAGTAGCCTCCTCTTCTCGACCCGCAGCCCCACCACTCATCAACACAGCCGAATCCGGTCCTGAATTTCGAACATGGGCGGAAGGAGTGCCCGTAGAAGGTGCACCCCGCAACACTGGGGTTTGGTGGCCCTTAGACCCCGGTGTGTCGCCAGCCCCCACGCCAGCCGTTGGTGTCCCCTTCGGTTTTTTCGGAGACTGCTCCATGCTCCCGGAACCAGCACTAGTACGTCTTTTGCTTGGCTTCCCCTCGCGATCAATGCCAAGCAGCTAGTCGCAACTGAAGAAAACTCACAAGCGAGAAAGCGGTCACTGCTTTGCCCACGTGCAAGCACCACAGCGCTTGAGAACAAGAGCAACTGAAGCGGGCCGCAACCCGCCCGCCCACTCGTCGTCGTTTCACTGTCGTGTCGAACTCGACGGCCGTGCCACGACGTCCTCCAGTACCGTCGAATCCGACACGAGAGCAACATTGTGGTGTCGTCGTCTCACTGTCGTGTCGAACCCGACGACACTGCGCGGGCTGACCAACCGTCGTGTTGGACACGACAACTACACTGTTGTTTGTCATGCGACAGTCGATCAAGCGGCCTTTCATGCACCACTTGGTCGCCAGATAACATTGTACATGTCGTGTTCGACACGACACCGACACTGTCGTCCGCCGTCCGACAGTCGACCAAGTGCCCCTTCGGGCACTATCTGGCGACCATCGTGCCGAACACGACAGTGACACTGGGGTGTGCTGTGCGACATTTGTCGTGTTCGACACAATGGTCGGCGGACGGTGCCTAAAGGGGCACTTCATCACGAGAACAAAAGACAACAGATCGCAGGTACTGGTTAACACGGAGAAACATTAACTGCTGAATGTTTGTGCACGCAAAACATCAAAACAACGAGTTTTTTTTTTCCGAAAGGAAACACAATATGAGAACAACAGTCAAACATTCGGCTGGCAGCGATGTGTCGGTGTCCAAAGCCAAACCAAAAACATGTGTCATCATTCCCGGATTTCAATGAATTGGAAAACAAAATGAGAATAACAACGTCAAACGTGTGTACTTTTGGCCACTGAACACATGACGAGAACAACTAGCAGATACCGCGTATTGTTATCAAATAACACATTGAGAACAGCAATCGAGAACAACTAGGAGATACCGCGTATTGTTATCGATATAATACATTTAGAACAACAATCGTAATGCGAATTCCACGAGGCTGTCTATCGACTACGGGAAACAATCTCGCCGTTGCGGCCATTTCGGCCATTAAGTATGTCGTTTTGGCCATTCAGTATGACGAAGGCTATCTACCGACAACGGGGAACAATCTCGCTGTTGCGGCCATTCAACACGCTAATTGGCGATCCGAAGGTCAGCTGCTGCGCCGTCTTAGCAAACACCGAAATGTATGTCATTCGCACGAACCTGGAGTTTCCGACGAGAGATGCGCTTAAAGCATCCTGAATTGAAATGACTTTAGCCTCGACCTCGCGCCATGCGACAACGTTCTCCACCTGGCCACCCACCGCGATATCCAATCTCCCATCTACCCTTCTTTGAACTAAACACATATCCCTCCCTGACATAGATAACTCGTTCCTGGACACATACACGACAGCATCGGTTAAGTTTCTTGCCCTGCTCGAAACGGCAATACAGAGCACCCTACAGAAGATAAAAGTATGCCAGACGCAATCTCACACAACAATACGAAACTGCTCTTGGCGAGAGACCGGGAGATCGCAACGGATAATGATCGAGGAACCGAGAATGTCACACACAATCGAGTAACTCGTGTTTCATAGGACGACATTAGGTGCGAGGCGAGGTTGTCACGTATTCGCAGTCCAAAACCCCCACAACACGGCTTATTTTTAGTTCTTTACACAATAGAGGCAAGCGCACGGGACGCAGCACATCGAACGACACAAGAATGCGTTTGCTGAATTCAAACATATTGGCGAACTCATAATCGCATGCCCACGGGCATCTCTCTGTCACGTTCACCCACTCGTACTTCTCCCACGAGTCCAAATGTTTGTCGCCAAATGGGAGGATTCTCATCCAAGGGTCGCATTCGAAGTCTTCGGGACAACCGCCTTCATAGGTTACGCTGCCCTGACATTGTCGGACGTACAACGCGCAAGG